AGGGTAAGTAATTTTGTGTTCTTCTTCTTTTTTAAATATCATAAAATCATCATCATTAGTTTACACATACATTCATATATTATGAATACGAAAATTTAAAACATGTATTTCGTGGGTAAAACACGAAAATTTCCTGGGTAAAATACATTCACTGTATTTACTTACTTGTGTTCTTCGAAGTAAAGCACAATTAAACGCAATCGAATACACGAAACTCAAAACAACTGCTTCACAAAACTCTTGGTGAACAAAATTCATCACAAAGAAAACCATTTCTACTTTACTGCTTTGCTAGCAATCGTGAAAGTATTATTGAAACAGCGGTGCCAGATGTATTGCCTCTAGCAATGAATTTAGGTTTATTAAAACAATTAATTGCGAAGTCTGCCTTATTGACATAGATGAGTGGATGTATTTAATGGTGGATAAATATCAAAAACTGATTAAATAAAACATAATTGACCATTTTAAACATTTTACCGGTCCAATTAAAAAAGTCACAGAAGATTGAATTCAACACTAACAGGGTTGATGGTAGCAGTGCACGTAGCCTGTTATACACTTTCCCGCTCAGGGGTGTAAACAAACTTGCATACAGCGCAGTCTGGCAGTGCTTATGTTTTGTCTGCTACATTCTTATCCACTAGATAGTGTGACATCACATTTGCTGTTGTATTGAAATGAAGGAAGAAAAGAGATGGTTAAGTTTTCCTCACCATACCAGTTGATATTTATGAAAAATGGGCAGTTTTGGCGTGGGGACATGCACTTCCAATGAATTTTACCAATACATTTAGAAAATGATGATCGAAGAATATTTCAAAAAGAAGAAGTAAACAAAATAATGACCCTTTGTAGAACCTTAAGGTAATTCGCGTTCTTGCTGCAAGCTCCAACACTCGATCAATATTCAAATAACTGATTTATAAACAAAAAAAACGTTGCTATTCGATTAGAAATCTGAATAAAACAACAAGTAGCTTGGTATACTTTGACCGGATTGCACGGTATTATCAACAATCAATACGCAACTAACGATTTTAAATTGGCTCACCACTTTAGTAGCCTATTGGTCCCAAGCAAACGATTAACGTACCCTATTCTAGTTGAAATTCTATTACTACACTATGTTTGTTTTGATTCGCTATGAAAGTTTGACAGATAACATCAGGGGTGTGTGGATTCATGCAGAACATGCAGGGGTGAGTGAAATAGCTTGGGACTGCTTGGGACCGTTGTTCTGGTACTGAGTGAGCCAAAAATAATAATGATTTTCTTCGGGACCCAGTGGTCTTAGAGTTACCTCTATGGTATTATCATAGAGGTAACTCTAAGACCACTGGGTCCCGAAGAAAATCATTATTATTTTTGGCTCACTCAGTACCAGAACAACGGTCCCAAGCAGTCCCAAGCTATTTCACTCACCCCTGCATGTTCTGCATGAATCCACACACCCCTGATGTTATCTGTTAAACTTTCATAGCGAATCAAAACAAACATAGTGTAGTAATAGAATTTCAACTAGAATAGGGTACGTTAATCGTTTGCTTGGGACCAATAGGCTACTAAAGTGGTGAGCCAATTTAAAATCGTTAGTTTCGTATTGATTGTTGGTATTATTCCAACTTAGTATACTTTTGAAGATTAATTTAAACGAATCAATGTATAAACATTGCTAAACCGTAAATTGGTTAAATTTTAAGCTCTCCTTGTTTAGTAATATTTTTGAGTGAGCAGCAACGCTGACGACAAGTCGACAGTGAGCATGCATAAGGGCGTATACGCGATGATCGATTCTCTTCATCGTTTTTCTCTTTGCATTGCTACAGCTAAGCGAAACAATTTTGTAGAATTTGTTCAATGTAGAGTTGTAATAGGTTGTATTGGCTTTCAAAAGCAACAACAAACGCACCGACAAACGTTAAATCTTGCGAGTTATTAAGAAAAGAGAAAATCGATGAAGAGAATCGATCATCGCGTATACGCCCTTATGAATGCTCACTGTCGAAGTGCTTGTTTATTTATTTATTTCGTCAATTAATCATTTTGTTCGACCATTTTTCACAGAGATGGCGCTGTTCTGCTGGTAGGAAGTAATAAAAATCCCCATATAGAAATTGAGAGAAGTGGGAATAATTCGCTTTCGGTGCATATTCAGGTCAAAAAAAAGTGAACGACCACCTAAAGAAATTATTCAAGGGCTTTGTCGTTCAGTTTTTTCCCGGAAATTAATGCTAAACAAGCTACAATTAAATAGAAATGATTTTTCCCCATACATTTTTACCTGCTTTACTATCAGTCCCCAGAGAGCCAAAATAATTCAAATTTGAGAAAGTAATTCTCTCTCACGAGCTCAATCTCTCAACATGCCATGTATTTTGTTGACACTCGATTTGAGATTTCCCTTTCACAGATTACAAAATAGAGTACCTGACACTACAAAACATTGATTGATTGATTTAACTTTATTAAGGAGGCTTTCAGCCTGGGGCTGGTTCACCTCCAACTACAAAACATGTCTGGTACCTCTCACGGTAACCAGCGTAAACACATTAATGTGTAAAATTTCACACATTTTGTGAAAAAATGGGCCTACTCATAAAATGTGTCAACTGCGTTTACACATTTATGTGTAAACCCAGCAAACGTCAATAGAAGAGTATTTTTTACACATTTTTCAATAACGGTTTTTACAGCAAAATGTGTAAAAAGTAATCATTTCTAGAAATTGAATACGATGGGAAAGCATGCTTTTTTCTATTTATTTCGGAGTTTTCTTATTTGTGTCACTGATAAAATAAAGAATTCTCGGATACAATAATAATTTATTATCTCCTTTATCTTTATCACATTTATCTCTTTATATGAGTTTTAACCTTAACGAGATTGCCACGGAACTCATTGCAGCCAGACACCGGACAATGAAAACCTTGATTATGAAAAAAAAATTCTTCTTAAACTTAGCTATGAAAATAATATAAATCACTTACCCTAGCTTGTCCATCTGCACTGTCCAGTTTGGACCTTAGTTCCTTAATTTCACTGTTGTTAATCACTGCTTAGCGGCCGAAGGCCGGTCAACGAAACAGGATGCAGCAAAGTTTGAAGTTTATTTTTACCCATTAATGAGTATAAAAATACACATTTTTTGATTGGTGCTACATTCTTAAAATGTGTATTTTTTTACACATTTTAAGATTTCCAAATTTACACATTTTTTGACAGCTGCATATAAATATAAAAAATGTGTATTTTTTTACTCATTTATGTGTTTACGCTGGTTACCGTGTGTAGAAAACCGAAATTTTAATAATTGAATTTCACTTCAAGGACGACTAATACGAAGGGTGAGTATAATTGCCTATTAATAATCCTTAACAAATAAATATAAAAATTGGCTGGTGAAGCAAACAAAAATTAACCTCACTTATGTGTTCGTATGCAAACCCGTCGTCAAATACTGATTTTTTATAAATATTTCCTAATTCTTGCTATCAGTGGCCAATCCCATCGCAACATCCTGCTGGCATCTGTCCTGCAGCAATCCTTCCGGAACGGTGACCCCGGTGAGTAAATGAATTCAAGATAAAATATTGAAAAGACATTATCAGCGTTTGTAAACAAAACATCTTGCGGCCTTTTCTCATGGATCGGAGCTCACCCCTGCAAAACTGTGAAAGCTTCCCTATCTGATAGCAGTGTTGGTATGCGTAGGTGAGGTCTGATTCACGAAAAAAAGGTCGCAAGATGTTTTGTTTACAAAAGCTGATGTCTTTGAATTACAAACCAGATCAAATAAAATCACACCGATTTATTGTTTGTTTTGCGTATTCTAGGTACCAGCATCCCCCAGGTATCCCTCCCGTCCATCTAGCAGGCATCCGAGCAGGCATCTCCACTGCTTCCTCGCCATTCGCCAATCGGAAGGATGAGTAACATAATTAAAATAACACGGCACGAGCAATTATTGACGTTTTGATCAAATCATTCACCGTGCTTGGAACGAAGGTACCACCGGGATTGATCAAATTTGTTGAGTTTGTTGAAATCTCAACATATCAAACATCCCACTACAGTACGCGCGCCATAGTAAATGCTCTCTGTGCAATTTTCAAGGAGATAGAGGAAGATGAAACAGAAGAAACGAAGAAGGAGTAATTTTTCTTATTGATCGAAACGTTATTCTTTAATTTACTTGTCTTTTAATTTGTTGTTTGTTATTGATTAGTGCTTAAGACATGGAAAATAAAATAACTGAACAAAACCCGCACATTAGATAACGTATTTAAAATCGTTGCAAAAATTTTCACCGCGTTACTGTGCGGGACCGAAATCTAAAAATCCGTATGCGTGTTACGATATCATACAATCACCTATGTGTTCATTTTTAGTAAACAGGGCCCCGCTGTTGTGTCACTTTTTGTCGAGTGAGTGAACTCAAATCCATCCGTGCACTCGTCTATGCGTCGGTCAGGAGAGTTGCGATTTTGCGTAACTTTTAATCTATTTACACGGAGATGAAAAACTACCCAAAATTAAGTACTTTTCCCTCAATTTCGGGGTTCAGCCCAATAAACCAAATTTGAGTAAATCGCATATAGTAGTTTCCATGTAACACCAGCAAACAAATTACCTACTCTTAAGTATATTCCACCCAAAATTAAGTTCATTTCACGTAAATTTGAGAATATGCAATTTACTCAAACGAAACTTATTGGGCTGAACTATATCGTTGGGTCGAATTTCTCGTTCCTTTTTTGACAACAATAACGAGTGCAAGTGAAAGGCTGAAGTCAATATTAAGTAAAAAGAACTCAAATTTTGGGTAGTATTTTTTCTCCGTGAAGATTTGAAAATATTTTGAGTGTAGCCAGTCGAAAGACCAACACAACAAAAATCTGAGCGTTTTTTTTCAATTCCGGGATTGTTCAGCTCGATATACACTTTTGACATTGGATAATTCCTGAAATATTTTGTTTACATTTAGTATTTATGTGAGTAGCAGCAAGTGCAAAAAGTACTTCAACATATTTTATGCTTTATTGTATTTTGAAAACTAAGAAAGCTAAACTATAAATTCAACTTGAGCAATCTTCAATTAAAGTGAATGTTCCATCGTATAGACGGAAACAATGAAATACTCCACCTCTCCGACACCTTCGCGCACCAACAGTTCCCTGCTGGGGATGTCATCAAGAACTACATCACCATTGCCACCGCCGGCCAACTATCAGAACGACTGCATGAGCGCCACCAACAAAAGCTACAAGTATCTCCGTCGTTTTGTCAAGTTTGATCAAATGGATTTCGAGTTCGCGTTATGGCAAATGCTGTACCTATTCATAGCTCCGAAAAAAGTTTACCGAAATGTAAACTACCGGAAACGTAAGATTGCTGCTTGGTTTACTGTTATTCCATTTCGATTCATTTCGGATCTATTGCAGAAACCAAATCTCAATTCGCCAGAGATGACCCGGCTTTCCTGGTGCTGCTGGTGGGCTGTCTATGTGGTAATTTTAAATCATACATGTTAGCCGATGTTTCAATTAACAACTATCGGTTTGCTTTCAGTAACATCCTTTGGATTCGCTTGGGTCCTGAGCCTAGGAATTGGACAGAGTATTTTGTTTTTGTTGTACGTTGTATTTGTGGATTGTATCCTTTGCGGAATGGTCGTTGCTACCTTGCTTTGGTTCGTGACGAACCGTTATCTGCGTGATCGAGCATCCGACATCGATGTGGAATGGGGTTACGCGTTCGATGTACATCTGAATGCATTTTTCCCTCCCTTGATTCTGCTGCATTTTATTCAACTTTTCTTCTATCATCCGTTGATTAGCCAGGACTGGTTTATATCGACCTTCATTGGTAATACGATGTGGCTGGCTGCGCTGAGTTACTACATCTATATCACCTTCCTTGGCTACAACGTTGTACCAAATTTGAAGAACACCCGAATAATTTTAGTTACACTACCACTGCTTTTCTTATTTTATGTTATTACGTTGATAATTCGCTGGAATTTGAGCACATCCTTGATGTACTTCTATCACTATAGAGTTTTGTAGACGATACAATTGCAATAAAGAGTATGATGGTATATCACAGCTGAAAATTGTTGTTCCGATTTTATTCACAAGACAATCACCCATTATGTAAGTGGAGTCGAGTGTCACGACTTATACCCAAGGGCCTGACACACAGCCTTCTTTTCGAAGCCAGCATAAAAACGTGATCACATATTAATCTAAGCGGGCCCAGAGCGTGGGCCCGCGACTATGCTCGCTATGGCTACTTGTTATAAGTAGAGATAGGGGTGCCAGCTCCTTGCTTATACACCGTACAGACTATGGCATATAGGGGCTTATTACGGATGTCACTTCACGGTGAAAACTTGTCACTTGTCGTCACGGTGAAGTGATTACCATTTGATTTGTACGGCAATCACGGCTCTTATTATGAGTATCACTTCCTTATCACCGTGTAGTGACACCCGTAATAAGGCCCTACAATGAGCTCTCATACATCTTATTATTATTATTATCTCTATTTAGGAGATTTTTTTTTCACATTATCCGTTTCAAGCTATAGGTAATCGAACGACATACTTAGAAAAAAATCACAATTTTTGGTGTAAATACAGAAATTTTTAAAATATGTCTATATGGACCATAGCATGCTATAATTACAAATGGCATCAAAATCCGATTTTTTAAAAACATTTAAGCATGTGAAAAATCAAAATCTCGTAGGTTTTTTTCACACGGTACGCATCCCCCGTGTAAAAAAAGACCTGAGTGTATTTGAGTACGACGACGATGGACGTTGCCCCTTGGAACGGAATGAAAGCGAACAAACCTGATGTTGCACAACAAGCCGGCCGGTTCTTTTTTTTTTCTTTTTTTTTCTAGCACAACAACAAAATCCTCTATCTCTCTTCTTTATTCTTTCAATCTCTTACTATCCCCTAATCGGACGCTAGTGGGACCAAAAAGCCTGCTAGTGAAAGGAAAGTCGTTATGCTATACGGTCTAGCATAGGCCACGACTAAATTTCCGTAGGTTCATGCCTGGCTTAAGTACAGATCGGTAGGCAGCAGCCTGCCAGGGTGTGAACTGAGCATTATTGTAATAATAACAATATTATCTCTATTTAGGAGATTTTCCCTCATACATCTAGTTTTCACTGGAAATCCTATGTATGAGTGCTCATTGCAAGACAGCCTATATTTCATGATATCAGCTATAGTCTGAACCAGGGTCTGAACGTACTATTACATAATAGAGCTCATATTCTCGTTTTCGTTCGACCAAATATAAATAAAAATTGTATGAAAAATACGGTTCGAACGAACGAATATGGGTGAATATGTCATTTGACACTTTTTATTCATAAGGCCTAATACGGTTAAGCTCTCTCTTATGGTTATTTTTATTAGGGATGACTATACACAGAAAAAAAGTTGCTGAATATTACATCCAAACAGCTGCACAGAGGTCATTCCGCCGGTTGTGTAATACTACCATAGAGGTAACTCTAAGGCTGAAAGGTCCCGAAATAACGTGCTCATATTTTTGGCTCACATCTGGTACTCTCTTCGGTCCCAAGCTAATCGATTCACCCCTCGAAACATAGGAAAAACCAATAACCCCTCATTTTATCTGTCAAACTTTCATAGCGAATCAAAACAAACATTGCGTAGTACTAGAATTTCGACTAGAATGGGGTACGTTAATCGTTTGCTTAGGACCAATAGGCTAGTCAAGTAGTGAGCCAATTTAAAATCGTTAGTTTCGTATTGATTGTTGGTATATATCTGTATATATATACACTGATAAAATTTCAAAGATTGTTATTATGTGTCCCACATATGAATTTTTGCAATGTGATCAACAAATGATATCTATGTGTCGGACACATACTTCAAAAGCAAATTTTCATTACGTCGAATGTAACAAAGGTAAACAAAGTCGAGCTATCAGTGTCAATCGATGCTCCTGTTATTACACTATATACTGTACGAATATAGGATCACATCCCATTTTTAAATTTATTTACCAGTCGAATTGCTTTTTGACGTAATCACCTTCCGATCAAAATAGTTTTCGATGTTACTTAAGTCACCCGATTTCTATGGAGATGCCGTTTGCCTTAAGTAACAGCACTGAGAAACCCGTGAAAAGTGTACTTTCGTCGTTTCGCTTTCTCATTATTAAAGTGAATAAATCGAACTGTTTGTTGCTAAGATGATTTCGGTGGTCCTAAAATGATGAATGGGCTGCACGTAAGGAGACGTAATTGATAATTCTCCCGAATATCCTGGTAAATACACTTTGACTTAAGCAACAATAGGGGCCACCAAACGACGTATAATAACTTTTGACTCAAAAACCAGTATTTCTTAGCATGAAAGCTAGCGATTTGCCTTTGTATGATTAAAACCCGGCTAAACATGTTAAACATTGCTATCACTATGAGATTATATGTGTTTAATTGGAAATAGGAATAACTTTTCGGTCATCAAAACAAAACTTTATTTTTCTCGGATCGGTGCGAATGTTACTTACGACATAATTAATTAATTTAGCTTTATTTAGGAGGCTTTCAGCCTTAGGCTGGTTCGCCTCCGAAATACTTACGACATAATGAAAATTTGCTCTTGACTTAATATGTGTACACATAAAAGTCATGTGTAACCACACATACTATTCATTTGACTCATAAACTTCATGTGTGCTTTTAAGTGGATTCTGTGGTCACTTGAAAATCATGTGGAATTTGACATGGAAAATGTGGGGAATTTTATTAGTGTACCCGAAAAAAAAATTACAGTGAAATTTTCATTAATTTTAACATTAATATTTATTGTCGACAATAAAAATGTTTGTTATAATGTTGTACTCTTCCGAAAACGGCAAAACTGCTACCTAGCTGTATAATGAATGTACATAATAAAATGTTGTTGCAATGATTTTTATTGTATTTTTCATTTATTTTATTGTTAACATGATTCGATCATGAACAATAATGAACAACTCTATTACAATAAAAATTGTTGTTACATTAAATATTGGTGTATTTTCATTGTGGGTTACTTCACGAACAATAAAAATAAATCTGATTGAAGCATGCAGACTATGAGAGGGTCAGCAATACTGCCAATGTAATTAAGATAGGCGCTGCTCGTATGGCTCTGGCTTTGACAGTTCGTTTGGCTCAAAACCAGGCAGTCCGCGTCCGCTCATATCTTATCCTAGACCCTCTCTAAAGCTGAATGGAGACCTTTTTCGTGCAGTCAATAATCATACAATAATAATAAAAAATTCCACCACTTGAAGATGTCAGGAAGGAACTCTCAGGTGGAAGCATATTTCATGGGCGATTCTCTCCAGTCGAATTCATTAACTTATCAACGACGCTCAACCACCAAGGAGCCGTGATCTAGGGATATCGAGCGCAGGGGAGTTGGCCTGTATTTCTCACAAGTTCCGGATCGAATCTCGATCCATAACCAGTAAAAAAAGGACCACCCGTAACAGACATAATACCACCCCCTTCCTTTCCCGGGACAATGTTCTATTTTTTCGATTTATTTTTAAAGTCGATAAAGTAGATCTGTCAAGTCAACACATACACTCTAAAGTACACTGTTATTTTTTTAATCAATAAATTCGCCAACCATAAAATAACAATAATATATAATGTTATTGAAAAAAAAATTATATGGGAAAATCACGAAAATTTCATTGTTAAGATACTTAACAACCCCCCTTTTTTATTGTAAATTTTCCATTTACCATGAAATTTGCTGTTTTGTACAACATAAATCAAGGTAAATTTATTGTAGACGTAACAATATAAATCATTGTTAAGACAATAATTTTCGTCTTATTGTTACATTGTTTTTTAATGTATTTTTTTGTTATTTTTTTTCGGGTATACTGCCAAAATAATCATGGCTCGGACTCAATAGTAGGATTTGCATACCTACTTTTAAAGCTTTTTTGATTTAATTTATTATTGAGTCTACACAGCAAAAAAAAATGTAATATCGATCAACGTAATTCAAGCTGATGTATGAAATAATGGTGTAATAGCAAAAAGCAGATACAATATTACATCAATGGATGTAATTTTGTTCGCAAAATCGATGTACATCGTACAATGTGATATTACACAACCGATGGATTGACCTGGTTGCAGCAGTTTCGATGTAATATTCAACAACTTTTTTTGCTGTGTATTGAGTATACATGGTATTATTATATTAATTATTATTATATTATTTATTGAGTGCATCCTTCGCTGTAAAAAAAAATGGCATCACTGCTATTGTCAAAACGGAATTTAAAAAAATTTCTTAAAACGTCAAATTGAAGCCCCTTATAGGTTTGAAGTTTCACGTGAGAAAGAATAGTAGAGAAGATTTTTCGCTTTATCATCAAGCATACGCTATTGAGCAACGCCGTTGGAGTAAATGCAGTATCCCAGGTCAGCTAATGCCATCAACACTAATAAAAGCAGTTCGGAAGATCCGAGAAGTGAGACTGAGCGAGAAAAGCGAACACAGGTACCAAGCTCCATTGAGGAAAAGCAATTCGCCATTTTAAAAATCCTATCAGTCTAGGAAGCAAAGTTTCGCGGTGAATGAGTTTTGGCGAGAATTTTTGCAGGTTCCAAGTGCATTCGTAAAAAAATCGATGCCGAAGAGCTCGCGTAGTGAAAAAGATCAGAACCTCCTGTATTGCGTTGTAATTCGCAGTGGCGTTATCAAGAAAAAATCGATCGTAACAGAGAATAATAATCATGAGGGTAAAGTATTTTTCCTCCTCCGTGGTACTTTTCCTAGCAGCAGCAGAGCTAAACACAGCGCAGTATTGAATAAGGGCATGGCATCGTTATGTCCACTCTCTGGCCGGCGGTAGAAGCACTGAAGAAGGAAGCGGGAAGAAAATTTAATAATTAATGCACAAAAGTGTTCCTTGTCTGCATAGGTTCTGCCTTGAAGTACTAGCGAGTGACCTTCCTCTGAAACCGAGTGGTCGGGTTATTGTGAAAAAATTAAGTTTTAAAACAATAACAGTTCTGTTGTTTGAAACATTGTGCCGATTGGGCTAAAATAGTGTGAAGTAGAGGAAAATAAAGTGAATTTCTTGCTGTGGAGAAAGCAGTTCTCGTTCTACCCACATCCAACTGTGTGTTGTTACTCTGGCAGAGCTGATCGCTGCAAGAGGTCTTTTCTTTCCGACCGTGCTATAGTGCTGAATGGTGTTACTGGTGCATTCGTCAGCATCAGGAAGTGGGCCACATTGCAAATTAGTTCAAACGAAGCAGCTAGAAACTCAACAATTAGATCGTGCGCGTGAATTATAACAGCCTATCAAAGTGGATACCAAAAGCAACCTGGGTCTAACCCAGGACTTCGAGAGGATGGTGGGACTGTCGGGCGGTGCTCATCTCTATGCAGCGGGACTTCCCCCTGCACAAGAAAGTAAGTATTGTTAAAATACTCATTTTTGTCACTTATTTGATAAACATACATGAACGTTGAGTAAAGGTATAGTAGGGAAAACCGAGAACTAACCGTGAATCGCAACTGGAAGTAATCGCAAATTTCATTGCAACCTTGAAACTTGGGTCTGTGTGTAGAACATTTTGGAAATATGCAAATTAGACGTTAATATTAAGCTCCCCCCTTGTTACGTGTTTTTTTTTTCTCTACACTTTCACACTGTTAAACAATTCTAAGATACCCCTTTAACTTCAGGTGTAGTAATTTTGTTCCCATACACTTAATATAACAGCCATAGGAAAGAACCGTAACGATTAAAAAAATATATTTTTTTTTTAATTAAGAGATTTTGGAATCAAATTGCACTAGGTATCCTGCCCAATATGAATTTTTTTTTCGATTTCTGATACTTTTTCATGTAAGAACGACTATATTACTAACATTCGAAAAGGGCGGGATTCCAAAATCACCATATCGAGAAAATCGCTTGCGAATTTTAAAGACCTAAAAATTAATCCTATTTTACGACTTTCCATTTTCTGGATGATTTTATAAGCTTGACATATAGTAAATAGTGTAATCTATCATCGTGCATCACTAAAAACTAAAAAAAAACTTTTTTTTTTACCGTGGAATTGAGAAGAAAACATCATACGCCCTGATAATTTCTTGCATGTTGTTACCCCCCGGATCTTCCACCCTTTGAACTGCCAACACTGGTGATAGGGTTGAGCGCTATTTCGTCGTAATCGCCCATTTCCGTTCTATCGATCAGAAAAGATCAATAATATCAATGATTTCACCGTGCACAAATCAATAATAGGTTTGTTCCGATGCGTTAGTTCATTAGCTACAACATAAATCCTGTTAGAGCGCATTGTATGAATATTTACGCTCATTGTTCTCATAACAAAAGAAGTGAATCCTCTTTTTCTACGTTTATCCGTAGGACGAAGAAAATCTAATGGCATTTCAATGCGTTGGGACGGAATTGAAACTCGTAGAACGATTTTAGAATCAAGAAGCAGTGTTAGATTTTAGACAATATCTCAACAATTTGTGACTCTTTATCAAATCCAACGAAACGTATGGAAAGGTGAATAAATTTGCAAGTCATCTTTGACATAAATATTCCATTGTTCGATTGTTTAAACTCGTTCAGAAAAGAGAGGTAAAGCGCGGGTTGTTCTTAGTAGGACGGAAATTAGATCAAAAACCCTACGCCGTAGAAATATACCCTCGGGATTTTTTGTTTGTTGTTCCGCCTTGGTTCTTCGTTCGCAAATTTTGTGAGAGTTGAATTATACCTGGAGATTTTTTGGTCTTCTTTTTGTTCGTTGTTTACACGTGAAATATCAATCAGATGCATTTCAAATGAATCGGGCGTGACTAGTTACTACATAATCAGTACGTTTTGCATATTAAAACAATATAATTCGTAGTTTTGGTTCAAGGCGTAACAACCAGATGTATCATAGAGTTGAAAATTGGAAATACGCCATGTTAAAGGAAACGTTTTTGATGATTTAAAATTATATTTTCTTCTACTTTTTCGTGTTTATCGAGTAGTTTGTGAACTGTTCTCTCCATATGTGGCAAAATATGGTTTTTTTTTACATTTTGGCTCTTCTGCCCCTTTCAAATGTTAATCTATTGGTCTCTCCATATGTGGCAAAATATGGTTTGTTTACATTTTGGCTCTTCCGCCCCTTTCAAATGTTAGTCTAGATTTGATCAAGTTCCTTAAAAAGCACATGAGAATGCAAAAAACATGTTCGTTGGGGATTTAAATAAAGTGCCTAAGCCCACATTGGCCTTACCTCGACATTTTCCGGGGACGCTCGTGGAAGTGGCCAAAATCTGCCATCAGTCAAAACCATCAGTAGACTCATCAAATCAAACGAGAATCATGGGCTTTCAAATGTTGAATTTATAATCTATAGCTAAATTGACTTGCAGACCAGTTAGGATATTATTCAGACTTTCTTTTTTCTGTGTACGAATTCAAACGTTTTTGTTGTCTTATCAGCATAGTCACAGTTAAGACGTAATAGCCAACATTGAAGAACATAATGGATTTGACACAAGTCAAATTCTGGTCACTTCCCAGGGGATTGGAAATTAACTTCCTAAACATGGATTGTTGAGATGTGTAGCAAAGTTAACAAAGTTAACGCGAACAGGAGTTATTCAATTTTGATACATTTCTACATTTTTGTCTCCAGTGTATAATATTTAGGATTGTGCTACATTTCCCCGAATGTCGTTTCCCCGAATGTCACTTCCCCGAACGCCATTTCCCCGAATACCCATTTCCCCGAATGCCCTTTTCACCGAATGTGCCATTTCCCCGAATGCCATATCCTCGAAAAAAAAGTTAGGAAATTTCCAACCGTTATTGCTGGCAATTTTCTTACTATATTTTGAGCATAGTGAGCAGATTGCAAACCAGATTAAATTTCAAGCCATGCAAATGGAAGGTTTATGAGATTAACCCAACTACCAATTAATTTGCTTCGAGTAGCTAGAAACGCATTGCCAAAGCACATGATGCTCACTATGCCCCTCTTTCCCCTATATTAATGTATTGAGCCGTTAAAAGCATTTTCATTTTTATATATAGAATAATAATCCAAAACCAAAAAGACAGACCAAAACCAAAGAGCACAAAAAATTTGGCAAAATATCGTCGGTTTGACAAATTGATTATAAATTTAAGGAAGTTTTGCCTTCTTTTATTTATGAGCAATTCTTTCGAGAACTTTGGAAAAACATGAGAGATCGATGGTTTGACAAAATGGTAAAATATGTTTATTCCTACTTTTTTACATAAGCAGTTCTTTCGGGAAATTTAGCAAAACTTGTTTCGGAAATTATTGCAACCAAATTTCAACAGGTGACAGTAATAAACAGAAGTTATGGCGATTTGTTTTGTACGCAGAAAATCGGAAAAAAAGCCTTTTTCTTGGCCCTTTGAAAAAAAAATATTGGTACAGAAGGTGGCTTATATTATGGCGCAACACCCCTACCAAATATTTTTTCTCGTTTCGCCTCCACAAACGAAAATTTAGTAAAAATATTGAAATCTGCATACATTATTTTTCGGTTTAACTTTTTGTCCATAGAAGGTGGCGCTATGCTGTTAGTAGTTGTGAGTGTAAAACTCACAGCATTCCTCGATTCATTTGTCAAATCATATATCTCACAAGTTTTGCCAAATTCCTCGATTTGAATTTATAAAAGAAAAAATCTCGTAAAACTATGTTATTAATTTTTAAATCCATCGACCTCACATATTGTCTAAGTTCCCGGAATACTGCTCGTTTATAAAAGGGGGAAAAATTTCCTCAAAATACATTACCAATTTGTCAAACCGTCAATCTCACAAGTTTTGAGAAAGTTTTCGAAAAAACATTTATAAAAGAAGGATAAAATACATCTACGGTTGAAAATCACATAAATAAATTTAAAAAGAAGAGAAAATCTCCTAAAAAATTATTACCAATCCGTCAAATCATCGATATTAGTTTTGCCAAAGTTCTCGAAAGAACTGCTCATGAATAAAATAAGGGAAAATTTCCTTAAAATATATTACCAATTTTTACACTTCCACTTCTGGTACTGCCGCCGCCTCACTAAAACTCTCGCCCGATTGATTTACTTTGAACAGAGATTTTCCCTTTTTTATCATGAGCTGTTCTTTTAAGGTTAATTGTTGTAATATTCAAAGATGTCTTCTTAATGCTCGCGAAACCAACCATAGAAATGTAATACATACAGTCAAAGTATTTTATAAATTTTTGGATTTCATTCGAGGAAATTACATTCGGGAAATGTAATTCGGGGAAATGACATTCGGGGAAATGGGGTATATGTTTGTCTGGGATTCGGGGAAATGGCGTTCGGGGAAGTGACATTCGGGGAAACAACATTCGGGAAAATGTAGCACAATCAATATTTAGCGGTGAGGTAATTCGCGGTTTATACCCTTACGCGGCATTAAAAACAAACTCAATATTTGATTGTTTATTTAAGGTGATTCGCTGTGACATCATTATTCTCGTAACCATTTCGAAATTTTAAGTGCACAAATATCAGCTTCTACGACGCGTGCAACATTTAAATTGTTACTCCACGTTTGCTGCACTGCATACATGAAGTATCAATTTCAAATGAAATAGGGCACTGATTTCCGAGATTTGCGTAATTGAAAATTCGAAGTGGAAGTTCATCTATGGCATACGTGGCGGCCATTTGTGGACTCTACACAGCAAAAAAATAATTTTGATATCACATCAAAGTGGATGCACTACAATTATGTCAAAAATTTCGTGTAATTTTTATGACCACATAAATAAACAAATGCAGTAAAAGCAGCGTAACGTCAGTTCATGCATTGTATTAATGATAATTTTGTCCTTTTTAGCAAGTAATATTACTCCATATTTTCGACATGATTGTAGTGCATCCACTTTGAGGTGATATCAAAATTATTTTTTTGCTGTGTACAATGAATCACCTTAAGCTATAACTCTTTAATCACACGTGTTATAATAATTAGGTACACGGATAGAAAACCCCTTATACCTTTAGTCAAATTTATATTGCTGATTATTCTTAAAATGTATAAGTCAACTAATAACTAGACGCCTTACAAAACAAATCATGTGTCAAATGAAATGTTTAAATGGTCACACATGCCGTTTATGTATTATTATAGGACCTATGTCTAATGGAATGTGTAATGTTTTGGCAAAAATGTGTAAGTGGAACACATGAATAACATAATTAATTTTCGTATAGTGTATAGATAAATACAGGGGGAATGTCATTTGGTATAAAATAACCTAGCATAGTGGTCGTTTAGCATAATGGACTTAAGAAATGCACAAAACTTATGAAACTTGAGCACCACCAAATTTTAGAAATAGATAGGACTTTATTGTATGTAAAATTTCATGAGTTACAGTAGGTAATTTAAGGCTTATGCGGGTCATAGAAACTCGATTTAAAAGTCATGAACATTTCTACTGACGGTTTACTGTTACTTTATATGTATTTTAACAGAGATTTTCCCGCTTTTATGACAGTCCCTCGAAAGCTTGTTAAGACATTTCCAGCTATTTTCAGCACAAAGACCATTTTATTCCGCTCATTTTAATCTATCTCATGGTCATCATTGAAATAAATATCCAGAGGATTATTTCCACATTTTGGAATAACAATTTTCGTTTTATCATAACCTTGTTGTCCATAATTTGGACTTATAGAATGCTTTAAAACCTTGGTTTCCAGATCTGGTTTACTAAAAACAAACGAGATGACTTTCTAGTCATAGTACATTGGAAATAAGCACACACTTAGTTAAAAAAAACTCGCACCAATAATACGCAAAAAATGTGAAAACGCCTTTAATGTGGTATTTCAAAAAAATGTAATCCTACCGCATCCTACTTTTTGTAAATCATAAGTCTTTGACGTCTTGGGCAGGATTTCTCAAGATTATGAAATGTGTAATATTATCCAAGAGATTCTCTCCCTAAGAAGTTCTATTTAATAGATAAAATCGAGTGCATTCCAGGCGATGGGAACAATACTAAACAGAAACCTTAAAAAGTTTGTGCTTTGTGAACCGAGCTCTGGTCTAACTTCTATATGTGAGAGTTTTTATTTTCATGTTACCATACAAGTATAGTGGGGCCAAGGATCATGAGAGGTAATTGTCAATAATTCATTAATTAGTAGAAATAACTATATTATCCTATAATTGATATTAAATAATTATTATATATAAATTAGTCATAACAGAGTAACAGAAAGAGTTTAAAACAGATGGTGAAGGACAATATACACAAGTTGACACAATACACTAGACAAGTTGGGGTTAATACACAAGATAAAATGACAAAATAAGTGACGACAGAAGACAAGACTGGGACAAAAATCAACCGTTAAAAAAACAAGAATGCGCAATTATATTATCAAAACTATTTGGATCAACACAAAAACAACAGTGACCAAACGGGCACCATAGCCTAGGAACGTCTGTGTGTTGATTTAAAATAGAGGCTCATAGAAGTAAAATTTATCAATATAAGGGCTCCAGTGTAGAGTTTAAGCAAGTGTATGCTGAAACTGTGATCATTAAAAAAATAAACAATCACGTTTTTATATGTTAATTTAATAAACATTTACACATTTTCATCTATAAAGTTTAAAATTGAAAAAAGTATTATATAACCGTCTTTTTCATTCAATTCTTTTTATTATATAGGGTATTTTTTATCTAATTTCCGTCCTACTAAGCACAGCCTGCGCTTTACCTCCCTTTTTTGAACGAGTTTAAACAAAAAATGGAATATTTATGTCAAAGTCAACAATTTGTGACTCTTTATGTCCATAAAGAGTCACAAATTGTTAAGTTATTGTTTAAAATCTAATACTGCTTCTTGATTCTAATTTCGTTCTACGAGTTTCAATTTCGTCCTAACGCATTGAAACGCCATTAGATTTTCTTCGTCCTACGGATAAACGGAGAAAAAGGAGATTCGCTAGGAGCGCTTCTTTTGTTTTGAGAACAATGAGCGTAAATATTCCCTCCCTTTGGCTAGTTTTTGCACCTTGCTGTTGGTTGGCGGACTTAATTTCATGCTAGTGGAGTGTTGGAGACTGTAGGTTTATGGCCGGCGTTGCTGGCTCATGCCGCGATAGAATGGCGCCATGGGTAGGCAATGGGGATTACTAAGCTTCCCCTCTCTGATAAACCAAGTTTAGTATGCATACGAAGCATAATGTGAAGAATTTCACTAAATACATATAAAATATACTTAAGACAGTTTTCTAATGTAGAAGAATTATAGGAAATCTGCAAAACTGATAGAGTTACAGCTTTGTTCAAAAACCAGGAATTTTAATAGAAAAAAAACAGGAAAACTGGGGAAAAAACATGAATTTAGAATCAGCAATTCACTTGCCACCCTGTATAGAATTCTGATGACCAATTTAAGGAATTCACATAAAAAATGTTTCTTCAAAAACCTGGAAATTTGAAGTCATGGAATAAACTAAACTACTCAGGGAATTTTATTTAGCTAAATGAGTAGACACTTTGATATAAAAAATCCATGCCTTTAGTAGAAATGAGGTAAGTTTCATCCAATTTGGTTTATTGAACTTTGAAAATTTTCAGTTTCTAAAAGGATACATCAAAAAGATGCGTTTTACTAAAATTGCTAAAACTTCATTCAGATTCAGCAAATCAAGCTCAATATTATACCGAATCAATCAAAGCCAAAAATTTCAGAAAACGTTTTGTACATCCGGAAAAGAAAATCGCGATGTGATATACTTTTGTCTGGTACTGTATATGAGAAGTAGAAACGATTCTTTCTAATGAAATCATGTATCTTTTTAAAATATCTCAAAACATTATTCTAAATTAAGCAAAAATTATGCAATTTTTTTTATTTTTTTTATTACTATAGTCACTTTAACACTCTTGGGTCATTTGTGACTTGTCCGGGGGTGAGATTTGAACTCGTGACTTTGGCGTGAGAGGTATGGATGTTAACCACTACGCCGAACTACTTTAAAACATCAATTGAATGAAATTTGTTTCTTGGAAATGCTTTATCAAATGCATCGATCTGCGCTGAACATCATTTCCGCTGTCTGTGAGCGATAGCGGCCGATAATTCAACCGCGGATATCTCGCAGGCGCAAATCACGTTAAATTAGACGATGTGCTACCGTGAATCTTATCATTCAATAATTAAGTACGTTTATGATCATCTGAAGCGAATGAAATGCATACAATAATCTGTTATATCACGAGACGAACTAGCCCCTGGATGAATGTCTCATAAATAAAGATAACCAACCAACCTAAAGTGTTATATAGATTGATTGATTTAGAATATTTTGTTTCTTTTCGAAAATTTCAGTTGTTCGCGACATGTCCTCCATGCCTAGCGCTGCCCCAACAAGCGCCGATGCCTGTCTTAGTATCGTCCATTCGCTGATGTGCCACCGGCAAGGCGGTGAAAGCGAAGGCTTCGCTAAACGTGCAATCGAATCTCTGGTGAAGAAGCTGAAGGAGAAACGAGACGAGCTGGATTCTCTCATCACTGCCATCACGACAAACGGTGCTCATCCGAGTAAATGTGTCACGATCCAGCGGACACTAGATGGACGTTTACAGGTATGGGTAGATTGGTTTTCTTTTTCTAGGATTGTGAATTCGTTACGAGTACGTATTTCATACTTACTAGGTTGCTGGCCGCAAGGGTTTCCCACATGTGATTTATGCTCGCATATGGCGCTGGCCTGATCTCCACAAGAACGAACTGAAGCACGTCAAGTACTGTCAATTTGCGTTCGATCTCAAATGCGACTCGGTTTGCGTCAATCCGTATCACTACGAACGGGTGGTATCTCCCGGAATTGGTAAGGATACAAGGGTGTTTGGTGTGCCAGCATGTGCATTGAAGTGAACTGTTTTCGTAGATCTATCCGGATTAACACTGCAGACAGGCCCAAGCCGCTTAATTAAGGATGAATACACACCTGGTTCAGGGGTGCCAGGATCAATGGATATCGATGGCAATGAAATTGGAACTATCCAACATCACCCTACGATGGTGCCCGGATCGGGCTATGGAGGCATGGGAATGCATCAACAAGTGCCAGGTTTGAAGTTTTGCTGTGTTCTCTATTTTTTGTTGACAATTTATGTTGTTATTATTTTACTTTGGTTAAATTTATGTTTCTTACTGACTAGACCCGTCACAGTTGGGCAGTATGTTTCCTCCGCCGCCGGGTAGCGCCCCAAGACCTATACCAAAAATGGAACCATCCGAGCAATCTCGAAACAGCAATGGTAGTTGGATGAACAACCCAAGTTCATCCTCGTTGTCTGCTTCCAGCTCCGCCCCGCTAAATCGGCTTTCATCATCACTGCCGCATTGTAAGACATTGAATGTTGTCGAATACACTAACACTAACACCCAAATGTAATGGCTTAAATAACATGACCATGACATGAAGAGTTCTTTGAAGTTTTAATAATTATTTTTTTTTTTATTTATTTCTTGGTTATGAACTTTTCCGATTTGACAGCCTTTTGTCAGTAAGAACACTAAAAAATGAAAAATATGTTAAGTTCTCTCTCGTTGCATTGGAAATTAGCTAAATCAGCGTTTCTCAATCTGTGAGTTGCCTCATAAGTGAGTCTCCAAGTTTTGATAAGTTTGTATTCATGTAACTTTGGCCAACAGTTTTTAAAAGTAAAATACAAATTTATTTGAATGTTATTGAATTTATTGAAACAACAATATACATTTTAAAATCGTTTTGTTAAACTTTTTTTTTGTGCTTAAAAAATAAGTATTATGTACACTGAAACAAGGACCATAGTAAGGAATACTATTTTGCAGAAAACACTTATTATCAATATAACCACGCCTATTGCTGTTGAATCTACTATGAATTCAGTATAGTTGACTATGAGTGTTAACAAATTTACTATGATCCTGGCAAAACTACTATGCTTGCTTAAAATGCATAGTAATTTTGATAGAAATAAAAGTAAAATTAAATGAAATTGTTTTCTGCAAAAATCTATTGGTGAGGGTATTTAATCTAACCATCAATATAGTATTTTTGCCAATGGATTTTGTTTCAGTGTATAAACCGTTGAGGGAACCGAAAGAAAACTTTCATAAAAAAAAAAAAAATAAGGAGCTCCTACTTAACTAGGTAACTTAAAACCAAAAATTGTTTCAATTTTGATGATTCGAAATTTGAAATATTTGGGGATGGCCTCGGCATACTGGTTAACATCCATACCAAAAAGAAGTCCAAATCTCATCCCCAGACAAGTCACAAATGACCCAAGAGTGCTACATAATAATAATAATAAAAAAATTCACCCAATTTGCTTTTGTAGAAAAAAAAATCAATTTTGATTTTTTCACATATTATTATATCATTATAAAACATTCATATTATATAACAATATAACGCAGTGTTCGGAAAATCCCAAAAACTCAAATCTCATGCTTGAGATTATGCGCCCATGAGTGTTGCCTTCCAAAATTCAACGTCGCAAACATCAGGTTCAAAAATTCATTTATTTATATGTCGGCGCTATTATTTGTTAATTGTTATCTTCATTCCTTTATTTAACGTCGGTCTCTGTTACGCAATCTAGTGCCAATCAACAGACAGTTTTCCCCACCTGCGTAGGATATCGCACCCATTCAACACACATGGGCCGACACCACCGGCTTTACTTCCCTTCCGAAAGAAGACGTGACCAAAGATTTTTATGCTTCAGAAAAATCCCACCGACCTCAGCTGGGATTGAACCCAGACCCATTGGGGTGAGAAAGCAGTCACGCTCAGGCATGGAAAATCATTTACATTCATTTCATACATTCATTTGCCTCTAACTTTTTTCATCAACAGCATTCTGCAAAATGATGCATAGAGCTTTTGTAGGTTTTGTTATTAGCTACAACTTTTGCTCATAACTCAAATCTGTATCTCTTATGCATCAAGAACTAGAGCAGGCAGAACTTGTTACTGTTTTTCAGTGAATGTAAAATACATTCACTGAAAAACAGTAGTGACTTCTGTTCGCTCTGGTTCGTCATGCATCAGAGATACGGATTTGACTTGTTAATAAAAGTTGTAGCTAATAACAAAACCTACAAAAGCTTTATATGTACATCATTTTGTGTAATGCTGTTGATGAAAAAAGTTAGAGGCAAATGAATGCAAATGATTTTCCATGCCTGGTCACGCTTACCACTACACCACCGGCGCCGGCAATTCCTTTATGACATTTAAAAATGATTTTCCGAACACTGATTAACGTAATTTTGCCATTCACATGGCCTTATAATGCTTTTAATAACGCCAAAACAACCTTGAAAGCAAGAAATCGACTTTAAGAATGGCTATTAAAAACGTCAAAATTGCCATAAACCTCCAAAATAACGCTGAAATGGCTTTTAAAATCGCCAAACTAGCTTTGAACGTTGAACACCAAATTTCAATACATTGTAAAAAAATATCTTAGCCATTACTGTCATAAATATAAAAAAAAACGACAAAGTGTTTTGTCTTTGCCCATAATCGCAAAATTGGCAATGGGAATTTATTGAAACGCCATCATTTTGATAACAAATTAAGGGATTTTGTTAAACATGTTTAATATTAAAAATTTTAGCAACTTTTTAATAATTTGTTATTAATTTATACCGTTTTTAGGTTTAACAAAATAAATTTCTAAATTTTCTATGTTTAAGAGGCTGATATCAACTCCCAATTTCGGTCTATATGGTAACGGTTGGTATGTTTTTTATTATAAAGTTTAATTATTTGGAAGGCTTAATCACGTTAGCTTTACGGAGCCAATAATTGATTTTTTTAACTTACAAGTTTTGTTTAAATCTACGTCTAGAATGGATGGGATGGAACCAACATTTTTGAGGAAAGAATCAGGGTAGGAGCTTGAGAATGAGGTTTCGTTGTCTCATCAGTGAATTACCGTTGAACGATTATGACGTTCAGACTTCGACTTCGCCTGGAGCTCAACCGGCGTCGATAATGGTGGACGAAAAGAAATCACAATGGAATTAAATTCTTATATTAGACATTTGAAGAAACACACTAAATGTGACTTGCATGTATTTATAAAGTAAGTTGCTAATTTGATAAAAAAATCCTTATATTTCCTTTTTATCAATAAAAAATAGTTTCATTATTTTCTGAGAAATTTTTCTCGAACGATTGGTGATTTCAGAAAAATCAGCCCAAAACATTATCTATTATCTTAGTAAAACTACCTACTGTAATATTTGATCTTCATTCAATTTCTGTTATTTTTTTGATAATAATTTCTGGTTTATTCTTGATCTGTAATTACTGTACTAACCTGATTTGAATTTTTACCAACTGGTTATTGTATGAATATTAAGTTAAAAATTTCCAATTCTTGTTATCATTAATGTAATACGATATCTACCCTTTTTGTTTACGTTCCCTTGCAGCCTCCGTACTAGGTAATGCCATTGGTCTAGCCAACAGTGGAGGATTACGTCCTCCTCAGCCGGGTCCGCCACAGGGGCCTCCTCAGCCGCCGCAACCAAATTCCCAAATGACAAACGGTGGAAACGGCCTGATAGGCAGCTCGTCACAGCCCAATTTGCTGAACTCAGACGGTCAGGGCCAATACTATACCAACAGCACCGTCGACCCTACACTTTCCGGTGATCCTCAACTCGGTCCAAACATGGGCGTACCAAACTCGATATCCGCAGCATCACCTGTATCTCCTCACCTGCAGCAAAATGGTTACAGCCACCCACCGAACAACCAACAGCAACAGCAGCAGCAGCAGCAACAACAACAACAACAACAACAACCGCCACAGCAGCAGTCACAACAACAGTCCTCCAGTCAAGGACAGTACAACCAACACCAGACCGGTGCTGCAACCTGGTCTGGTGCCAACACGCTAACGTATACGCAATCGATTCAGCCACCAGCACCGGATCCGCGATCTCACAGTGGCCATCAGCAATACTGGCAACATGGAGGCGGTCCCGGTAGTGTCAGTGGTTCAAGCTCAGGTCAAATGCAGGAAATGCCTAGCCAACAGCGTCTGTCTCGACAGCCGGCTCCGGAATATTGGTGTTCGGTTGCCTACTTCGAACTCGATACGCAGGTCGGCGAAATGTTCAAGGTACCATCGAATCGTCCCAATGTTACTGTCGATGGCTATGTAGACCCGTCTGGTGGAAATCGGTTCTGCTTGGGCGCACTCAGCAACGTTCATCGAACGGAGCAAAGCGAAAAAGCGAGGTAAGTCTGCGTATGTTCGGTCTTTCTTGTTGAGCAAAGCATTAACAAGTCTAAACTAAAAAGTGATCGATAAGCCGAACGGTGTTGAATTAGATTATTGTATTATTAGATTGCAATTGTGAAATTTTACCAACTGAGCGTGTTTCTCGTCTTGGTTTATGTTGCTTAGTGATTGCCTCGTATATATTTATGTTGATGGCAATGCAATTGCATAAGTCATTTGCACAGCTTATTTTCATTACCATTATGTAATTCTGCAATCCTTTCTTAATAGGTCCTGGTGGGGCAAGAGTGCCACCTTAACAATTGTACGTTCTGTATGTGTCAAAAAGTGGATATTTATATGAGGTTCTACACCGTATTGCAAGTTCATATTATTGCCTTCATACATGAGCAATATAGGGGGATGGGGCAAGAAGACCATACGGGGTGAGATGGGCCACCGTTCGTTTGGGCATATTACCTATTAACTCAATCTATTTTTTTACAAACTTGTTGAAAATGCTTCTAATATGCATCTCCATGAAAACCGTATCAAAATTCAATTATATATGTCTAAAATAATGATGGAAATGTAACATTAGCTCAAAATCTCTAGAATAAGATCTGCAGTAAAGAAAACAAGCATGGCATTCACTATATTGCATTTTACCGATCCGCTGGTCCTGTTGATCGGAGCAAAAACTGAAATTTTTCAAACATTCGCAAACCCTATAATTTAATGAGTAGGGTAGAGCGCTACTTCGTCGTAATCGCCCATTTCCGTTCTATCGATCAGAAAAGATCAATAATATCAATGATTCCACCGTGCAAAAATCAATAATAGGTTTGTTCCGATGCGTTAGTTCATTAGCTACAACATAAATCTTGTATGAATATTTACGCTCATTGTTCTCAAAACAAAAGAAGCGCTCCTAGCGAATCCCCTTTTCCTACGTTTATCCGTAGGACGAAGAAAATCTAATGACGTTTCAATGCGTTAGGACGATTGTACGACTTTTCCCCGAAAACCAGTCTCCCGAAAACACTTTCCCCGAAAGTTATTGCCCCGAATGTAACTTTTCCCCGAAATACAATTCCCCGAATGGCACAGTTCCCAGAAAATAATTTCCCCGAATCTGCGCATCTTCGCTGGTTAACTACTTGTATCGAACAATACCACAATAAACATATTAATGTGCGTCGAATAAAGACAATAGTTTGACTTTCGTTAAAACAAAATGTAAAGGTCAAGCTCCTGAAATCGGTGTAATCCTATTTCAGCAGCTTTTGACCTTTCCATGTAGTTTTAACGAAAGTCAAACTTTTGTCTTTATTCAACACATATTGATTTCTTCGTGCTCCATACAATTTTAGATTCACCCTATAAGGAGTCGCCATGTGACTAATATGTATGGCATGGGGACGCATGACATCTTTTCTTTGTTTGTATGGAGTTTTTTTTAACGGTCGTACCTATCAAACAAACACACATATTGTATGCAATTAGCTCCATGGATCATACCATATTATACGTCAAAGAATGAACTATGATTCAAAGAAGGAAAATTTCTTGCGACAAGCAAAATTTTCCCTTCTTTGTATCACAGCTCGTTCTTTAACGTTTTGAAGAATAAATATCTTACTAATTTATCAAAGCGATATCTCATTGTAATAAAATTGAAGAACGAGCCAAATGTCATAACAAGTCATAACCACAAACTTTATCTAGGGTGTTGAACGACTTTGTTCTGTTTATCAATATTCAGCAAAGATATTTTTCTCAATTTCATATAGATAAGTTGTAACAAAGGATCATATTTAAATAGATCGCACAGTGTAAATTGTATCTTTCGGGGAACTAGTTCTTTCGGGGAAATAGTTTTCGGGAAAACGTTCCTTTCGGGGAACTGGTTCATTCGGGGAATCGTATTTCGGGGATAAAACTTTCGAGGAAAGTGTTTTCGGGGAACTGGTTTTCGGGGAAAAGTCGTACAATCGTTAGGACGGAATTGAAACTCGTATGACGAATTTAGAGCCAAGAAGTAGGGGAAATGGATAGTAGTAGGACGGAAATTAGATCAAAAACTCTATGTCATATTTTATCCATATTTTGAACACTGTACCTACACTATCAAAAATATTCCAAAGCATGAACATGACCACTGCTATCATACATTTATGAATGTTTTTCATGTTTTATGATGTGTTTTTCTTAGGAGAACTATATTGCCCCTATCTACCCTAATGCAAATTAAATTTAATCAAAAGTTGCTGTGTGTGTGTGTGTTTTTTTTTTTTTTTTTTTTTTTTTTTTTTTTTTTTTTTTTTTTTTTTTTTGGCAAGGAGGAAACCTTCAAAAAGGCCATCGTGCCACCGCTTGACGACTGGGCGCACAGTCGCGGTGACACGGTGTGTGGGATTCTTACCGCACTAAAACCTCCTTAGACGCCTGGCCCTTTTCCCCCGGAACCACTTGTCGTATTACTTCGGAGGGGGCCGTGCATTACGCACCTCACTTTACCTCAGCTAATTGGCGCTTCCAGTTCGCTGATCGTCTCTCCAATTTGTGAGCCATTTAGCTCCCAGCGTCACGTTCTACTCGGTTATCCCTGGTGGTGGAACTCTGACGGAGAGTTCTCCCGGCTTCGGCTTTCAGTTCGCACTTGTGTGAGCACATTACTACTTTCTAGTTGGTCTTCCCGCCATTTTCGCTGCAGCGCTGACATGATCTGCGTTACTGCTCTGCTGACGGCGTTAAAGGTGCCCTCCTCTCGACACATTTCTTCGACGACATTCTCCGTGCTAAGGGCGAGCATATCCTCTCGCACATCATCAAATCTAGGACATTCGAAAACCACGTGCTCTGGTGATTCTTCCACATTCCCACACTCCGGACAGAAGGGTGACGTTGTGTGTCCGAACCGATGCAGGTACTTCCTGAAGCAGCCATGACCAGACAGGAACTGCGTCAAGTGGAAGTTGGCTTCTCCATGCTTCCTGTTCACCCAGGTCGAAAGAGTCGGTATTAGCCTGTGTGTCCATCTACCGTTCTCTGCTGCATCCCACTCCTGCTGCCACTTAGCCATCGACTCCGTTCTCACCATTTTTCGTACTCCTCTGGTTTCTCTCGTCATATAGCACTCGTAGTCCTCCGCCAAGGTGATGCCGATTGGGATCATACCGGCGATAACGCATACTGCCTCCATCGAAATGGTTCTGTACGCACTCACGACTCGCATGGCCATGAGCCGGAACGTACTGCTCAATTTCCTTTGGTTCTGCTTCGTTTTCAGCGCTTCAATCCAGGCTGGACCTCCGTACCTTAGTATTGATGAGGAAACACTAGCCAGAAGACGTCTCTTGCTGCTGCTTGGACCAGAACTGTTCGGCATGATTCTGGCTATTGCGTTGATGACCTTCGTCGCCTTCTCGCAAGCATATTCGATGTGGCTATTAAAGTTTAGCCGGTCGTCGATCATCACTCCCAGATACTTAAGCATGCGCTTCGAAGCAATGGTGTGCTCTCCAACGGTAATTTCTGCCCGCTGCACTGCTTTGCAGTTACTGACCAACATCACTTCTGTTTTGTGGTGGGCTATCTGCAGCTTCGCTCCTTGCATCCAGTTACCAATCGTATCTATCGCCTCAGCCGCCAACATTTCCACTTCTTCCAGCGTTTCACCGGTTACCGTCAAGACGACATCGTCCGCAAAGCCAACGATCTCAACTCCTTTGGGCAGCTTGAGCGTCAGCACGCCATTGTACATTCCGTTCCACAGCGTGGGACCTAGAATGGAGCCTTGGGGAACCCCCGCCGTGATTCTAAGCGATTTCTGCCCCGTGTCTGTCACGTAGACAAGGACCCGGTTCTGGAAATAACTACTTAGAATCCTGCAGAGGTAGCCTGGAACCCTCATTCTATGGAGCGCCTTGGCGATGGCCTCCCAGCTGGCGCTATTGAATGCATTCTTGACATCGATCGTAATCACGGCGCAGTATCGATTTCCTCTCCGCTTCTGTTTGGAAGCTTTCTCGGCTCTGTCAATCACTGTCCGAATTGCATCCACCGTCGATCTCCCTTTCCGGAATCCAAACTGCCTCTCCGACAATCCGTGTTCACTCTCCGTGCATTTCGTCAGCCTGTTGAGGATGATCCTCTCTAAGAGCTTTCCTACAGTATCCAGCAAGCATATTGGCCTATACGATGCAGGATCCCCCGGCGGTTTTCCGGGCTTCGGCAACAGCACAAGCTTTTGTACCTTCCACCTATCAGGGAACTGACCATCGTCCAGACATTTCTGCAGCACCATCCTGAACATGTCCGGGAACGTCTGGATCGCCGCCTTCAACGCCACGTTGGGAATTCCATCCGGGCCGGGAGCTTTATTCGCTTTCAACCCTTTCGCTGCTGCTATGAGTTCCTCGTTGGAGACTTGTTCAACGTTGTCTTCATCTACCTCGCCATATGGTGTAGGTGGCCAGTTCGTTGGGTCATGCTGTGGGAAAAGTCCCTCCACGATGACTTTCAGCTTGTTGTGGCACATTTCAACCGGCATCGTTGGGCCTCTGATCTTCGCCATCGCAACTCGGTATGCGTTGCCCCAGGGGTTGGCATCGGCATCGCGGCACAACTCCTTGAAACTATTTGACTTGCTCAGCTTTATCTTTCGTTTCAGTGCAGCCCTGGCCTCTCGGAACACCACCCTGCGCTCCTCTCTGTCTGCTTCTGTTCTTGCTCTCTGAGCACGCCTTCTGGCTAGAAGACAAGTAGCACGGAGGGTGCTAATTTCCTCGTTCCACCAGTAGGCTGGACGCCGCCTGTTCGTTGGCTCCAGTTTTCTCGGCATAGTTGTGTCACATGCCCTTGCTAATAATTCGGTCAACTCATTCGCGCTTAGGCCCGGGACGCTGTTGTCTACCCTTAGAGCTTCGATGAAGAGATCCTTATTGAATGCCTTCGTCTTCCACTTCCGCTCGCTTACTTTCGTCCTCCGCATTTCCACCGGTGTTCGTTCGCC